GTAACATATGACGCCAGTGTGACCTACAGTGATGAAGAGAGGACAGTACCGTACTGCGAATCTAAGTTGCAGTCGGCTTTAAATAATGGTATTCAAAGCTTTAGCTTCATAACAGGAGATTTATCAGCAATCAAACAGTAGGCACACCGGACACCTTGAATAGGCGCGGCTGCTGCTTATATCACTTACAAGGGAAGTTTGCCGAATCGAAATGGCCGTTTGATACGTGGTATATACCCGGACGCGGGGCTCGAAAGGTTAGTAAATGTGCGCCCATTAGCTGCGACGCGTTATTGTAAAGCAAGTTATGGGCCTCTTTTTGGCGTGTGCATGTCTAGAGGATGCACAAACACTCCGATTGTGGTCGTGTGGCGTAGTGGTTAGCGTCTCGGACACACAGGTGACTGGTGAGGGTTCGAATCCTGTTGCTGTCCACATGTTTTGCGTTCTTCTCAAAAATCATTTTTTACCTGTTTTATGTATTATTGAGGTATAAAATGACACACACGGGTTACGGGATGATTTTTCTCACAAAAATTCGACCAATGCTTCATATGTAAAATTTTCATAGTACATAGCAATGACTTTTTAGCGAGGCTTTTCATTTGACTTTGAAGATTTGCCAAATCCTCCTCCAACTTGGAGATTGTCAATCATTTGATTGACAATCTCCAAGTTGTATCATGTCGTACTATTGATTCTAGCTAATGGGCTACATTGTGAGAATGACACAGCAGGATGTATAATTAGTAGAGTTCAAACCACACGTATGTGTCATTTTTTACATCAGTAATGCATAAAACAGGTAAAAAATGAATTTTGTGAAGAACGCAAAACATGTGGACAGCAACAGGATCCGAACCCTCACCGGTCACCTGTTAGTCCGAGACGCTAACCACTACACCACACGACCACAATCGGAGCATTTGTGCGTTCTCTAGACATGCACACGCCAAAAACTTCAGAGGGCCAAAACTTGCTTCACAATAACGCGTCGCACTAATGGGCGCACATTTGATACTAACCTGCCGAGCCTCGCGTCCGGGTATATACCACGTATCAATCGGCCATTTCGATTCGGGAACTTCCCTTGTTAGTACTCGACTGGCATTTTAGAAAAAGGTACATATGCGATCCTGTCGCAGAATATACTTTGTGGAAACTACAAACTACTATGTTTGCTGACCCTTTTCGCTTTTGGGAAAACACCTTTCTCATTTCAACATGACCTCCTAAAAGTACTGAATAGCCAGCGATTCAAAGCATGCTAAAAAAGAAAAAAAAGAATCTGAGACCTGTTTTTATGGTACCAATAAAACCTTTCGGGTAATTTTTGGGTTCGGTGATAGTCCATAACTATTTGCAGGATCTGCTTGAATCAGCATTGAACTTCATGTATCTCTGTTCAGTCGCCATCTAATGCACTGCGACATTCTTTTGAGAGAGCAGTTCTTTCTTTCCCTTCTTCAACCAACAATAATGTTGTTCACAATTCTCAAAATGCGAAGGATCTAGTATAGAAGGAATTGCGACAGGGCTCAATGCACCAAGCACATAGCATCCAATTTGGGAGGCTGTTACTAATCAGTTTAAGCCAGAGGCTTATCTGCATATCAGTGGCGAACCGAGGGAGGGGGGGGGGGGATTTCTTCACTCACATGGCTGAAAAAAGTGCAAGCTTGTGTATTCTTATAAATGACTAGCTGGACCAAACTCCGGACCAAACTTGGCACACATACACTTCGGGCCCCGGCGGGTGTCACAGTCCACTTTTCGTTATCGATCGATGTCGATTTTCCGATTTTTTTCGATTTTTTTTTGCAGAGTTCACCTACAGGGCTAGGAGTTGGCACAGGGGGGAAGTGAGCATGGGGATTCCGAATACAATATTAGTTTTCAGAATCGTCCATTAATTTTATCGATTTTATCGATTTTTTTGTAAAGTTTGACCTACGGGGCTGGGAGTTTGCACAGGGGGGTAATCGAGTATGCAGATTACGAATACAATATTAGTTTTCAAGATCGTGTATTACTTTTATCGATTTTATCGATTTTTTAAAAATTTGAGCTAGGGGGCTGGAATTTGGCACAGAGGTGTAATCGAGCATGCTGGTCACCCCCCTCGGGGATGATCTCCCAGCCCCGTAGGTGAACTCCCAGCCCCGTAGGTGAACTCAGCAAAAAAATCGATAAAATCGATATCGATCGATGACGAAAAGTAGCCTATGACACCCGCCGGGGCCCGTAGTGTATGTGTGCCAAGTTTGGTCCGGATCGGTTCAGAAATGGAATTTTCTACTCGGAACATACGTACACACAGACATACAGACAGACAGACATACAGACAGACAAACAGACATTCAGCTTTATATATAAGATTAATTCAAAAACTTTTTGAAAATTTGAATCAGCCTTGCAAAAAAAAAATTTTTTTTGGAAGCGTGGCCTCCGCCACGCCCCCCTCCCTTTTTCCAATATTTCAGGGTTATGTACCCAAGAAATTTTCAGCAAACATCCCAAACTGAAGGAATGAGAAGCTCATTTGTATGAGTTTCCTTTAGTGTTAGCTAAAAAAAGTGCTTGGAGTCGGAGCGAGCGAGTGGCAAAAGTGATTCTTTCTAAATAACAAGCTCTATCAAACTTTGTCAGACTTCATCAAATTATTCAACGGAAGACAAACACTTTGTTGCACGATACCATGAGCACGTTTACGCCCACTTTCAAAACATTCAACCTTTTGAGAATCATACCGCCGCAGCAATTCAGCTGGGTGCTACTAATATATGAATTTTCATGTGAAAAAGCTGTACTTAGCAGCCGAGTCTCGTGCTATCAATTCACTATCATGCTTTTACTACCTGTACTGCGCACTTTTTCAAAAACACGACTATCAACGCGTTTCAGCAATTCTCGCTCATTCTATTCAAGTTTCAATAGAAACGGGCTCTACCTGCCTATGATACCTCGCGATCATTGACCTATAACTGGAAATTACCTTAGCCGCTGAATCAATAAGAATTAAAAAACGGTAATCTAACTTGAAATCTATATAAGAAACCATAGAAGCCATCGTTTACCCCACCTCCTTATCATTGTTGTAGCAGGAGATGATTAGTACACGTGTAAATACACTCAACTTCAATAGCATTGTCATAAATTGGTTGGCTAAAAAATAGACATGGAAATCTTCATAAAAAGTTTTTAGTTGTTTTCTATCTATGATTTTTTCTCGAAAAGTAGATCGAAGCCTGCTCTATCACATATCAAATATTTAGAATATTCTATCATCAGTAAAGACAGTTATGCCTCAACAGGCTAAATTTCCAAAAGCCCATATCTTTGACTTCCTAAGCTTCGTTTTCATGATATAATGGACTAGCGACCCTACGGGTCGCTAGCAAGTGAGTTGGGGCAGATACATTCGAAGCTGCAGCATTCTTGCGACTATGAGTTACAACAAACAGATCTATCAATTTGACGATTTTTCTCACCTAATGTAATATAACAGGAGTTCGAGACTGTTGCCACAATACCGTACTTCTAACGAAACAGGCATTAAGCAATGAATGAATAGCTATAATTCAACCTTTGTTGTTCTTACTGCAAAAGCATCCCAGCAAGAGCTGGATCCATTTTTTCATATTTGAAATCACCACCAATCATCTATTATATTATGTAGCACATCTGATCCGAGCCAAAACGCAGCTCATCTTTTAATGGTGTGCCTCTCAGCCGCAAAAGGGCTAAGCATGATATTCGACTAAAGCTTGCACATCGCTTTCACTGTAGCTACAGACTTATCGTCAAAATGTAAACATTCAGGAACTAATTTTACGCATTTCGTGTGTTCTTTGTTCGTAAAATCTGGCATTTCTTTCTTGACAAACCTGCGTGGCATGAAAAACTTCAAGTTAATCTCACATTCTGAAGACTGCCGCTAAAATATTCTCTATAACAGTATCCCGCCTCAGTCATCATTGAGCAGTCATTTAGCCAAAATCTGCTCACTGCTGGGTGTGAAATTGGGATTATTTAATATGGTACTCTCAGAGATGAGGCTTTTCGGAAATTCATAGCCAAATGTCCAGCGAGATCAAAGTGTACAATTTGCAGCTTTGGAAGGTTAAATAGAATTACTTCAAACTATTTGAAAAACTCATGAAAAGCTGCAATAGATATTTCGTTGAACGTGCATTGTCGTAAAAATTGTCAGGTCTTTTTCAACAAGAAAAAGGTTTGCACATTTGATCGGGGAGCAGGATAGTGTTTTCCTAAAGTTCCAGTGATTGTCAGGAATTCAAAGGTTCAAACTCAGAGACCTTCTAGCGCGAAACTCTCTTCCCTAGAATCACATAAAGTGCAAAGAATTTCCCTTTTCATCGCAATGCTTTCTGCCAAAGTGATGCCCCCACCCCATTCCCCCTCCCCAAATTCCAGGAAATGCATAATGGGACTTCTCACTTCTTGCGGTTATTTCCTTCAAAACGTAAGTTCCACTTAAACAAATTTTATACTTCAGTTCCGCTCGAAGTACGCTCTCTCCAGAAGTACGAAACACTGGTAGTAATCTGTCTGCAGCATTTGTAAGAGCCGAAAAAACGGCCGAACTTATTTATTAGCCGAGCTAATAGTACACGTCCTCTCCTGACCTTTTGCTGGACTGGCAATCTGACAGAAACAACAATGGTCATTCCCTGTTTGTTCATCTAGTTGGTCTGGTGCACAGTTTGAAAAGGATCAAGCTGCGCTTTTGCAAGTGGTCCTACACGCTGTTATTGGTCTGAAAGTACGAGATTTACAATAACAGCAATGACTCCATTTTTAGTTCAATTTCGCGCATAATGTATTACGTACTCTCCGTCACCGGAAGTACTGAGAAAAACGTACTTGTGAACTAATATTTTTACGCAGGCCCAGAGTCAGACAGCCCTAGCTATTTTTTTCTATAGCAGCAAAGCTCATTGTGTACTATTCGTATCACCCGCATGTAAACTTATAAAATGGCCGGCCGACGATTTCATCACTCAAAAATCATGTTTGGTCTGTGTGCACTTCTGCTGGTATGTCGTATCCCTTATACATTGTCTTACTAGTACATGTAACATATACCAAGGTTCTCACTGACTTTGCCATCGTTTGTGAAGGTGGCAAAACATGTCCTAAAATGGATCGAAGGAATAGGAAGTTCATCAAGAAGCTGAAAGAGATTCGTGATTCGTTCATCGATCATCGGCTAGTCGGTCTTAAGAAAATAGAAATGGTAATTTTTTTTTCCTTTCAAGTTCATGCAAACTTGAATTTACCAGCGACATGACCGTGCTGAAAAGACGAAAAACAGCCTTTTTGTCGATGTTCTGCGTCTTTACCTATGTCCTTCAAATTTCTGGTAATGCCATGTAGCGATTATAGCATTCTGTGCTCAATTGCGTAAAATAATCTTTACAAAGGTTTTCGGTGTCTGTATACATCCCATCACTGCCTTCTTCAGCAGGTCTCATTTAAAATAAGAACTAAGCCCCACATACTCTAGGTTAGCATTAGCCGATCGCAAGCTCGGAATGACTATGTTTTTCTTACCGCACACATCGTGGAATTTCCATGATTTCTTTTGCATGACTCACCGAAGTCATACTTCATCTGAACTGTATTCATTACATCATAGCCAACTCGATAGCATGAGTGAAGTTAATATGTACTAGTCCATTACTGCAGATATGGTCTTATTCATCTCTTTGACAATATTTGAGACAAGTGAAAAGCATGTGTAAAAAACTATTCGGCAAGTCCGCTATCAAAAATTGTTGATAAACTGCATTGCTGTAAAGTCTTCCAGCTCAAATCCAATGGTTCAACTATAAATTTTTAAGGTGAGAAAGTGTATAGTGAAAAGGAACGAAACGGAAATTAGTTATTTCTTTGATTTTTTGTTATTATTTTCAAGGCTTTATTTTAGTCAAAGTCTTTCGAAAGAAATCTATCATTCTCTAGAGCAACGACACTTCCGATTGCTGTGCACTTTAAAGGCAGTGGCGCGGCAAATCTCAACCTAGTCAATTTGCGCTTATCTGGGGTTTTTCAATACGCTGATCCCGAAAATCCACTTTTGAAAGGTTGAAAACAGTGAAAATGAGCGTTTTTTAATGCCATTCCCTTTGAAATTGGACGAGTGGAGCAAGGCTGATGACGCTAAATCGTGGCAGGACTCAATGGTTATAACGTTGCGGCGGGCAGCCTCCAATGGTGAGAAGGAAATTGCCGACTCGTCCATATGCGTGTAAGATTGGCCTGCGCGTGTAAGTTTGAGAGCGATTTTCTCGGCAGGGAAGGCATGCTGTGCAACCGGGACTGCATTGTTTTCAAACTTGAGCGATAAGGACCCTACCGCGTTAAAATCCTGAGTTATTGGATTTTGCCGATCCACTGCCTTTAATGCCGAGTTCTGGGCGTTTATCTTTGATTTTGAATACGCGGGCACAAAATCGAAATTGAATGGTCTTCTGTATAACAACAAACGCGACGTTCAGAGGCGCGCAGCAAGTGAGCAGGTTGGGGAGCGTTCAATGCTCTACGAGGATGTCTAAAATTGATTTGGACTGAATTTTGGATTTGATTAAAAACGCTATGCTTGTTGGATGATATAAACTATCTCTATCATACTTAGTGGACCTCTACCGAAGCAGTGTATGGTTGTATGCCAAGATGAACGATAGCTGGAAATAAGCATACTGTACTCCTGCGGTTGTCATATGCGGCGCATGAAGATTTATTTTTGAAACGATATGTTTTTCACTGGATTGGGAATTTGCTGAACGGTAAAGATAAGGCATATTGAGCTCCCTGCGTTTTTCCAAATATTTAGATGTCATCATAGCGTAGATTCAGAATCCGAAAAAGATTTGACCAATGGAAGCATATGGATGGCTCAAGCTGCGCTACGAACACGCTCAAGCTATTCCCTACGAACATGGCCACTCCAGCTTTTTTGGATCAAAATTAGTTCATGTGAAATGTTCGTTCTTCCCCCCCCCCCCCCTTCCGCGAAGACAATGAGTAGATTTTCCGTTTAGTATGTGCTTGCACTGCAGGTAAAATGCGGTAGTGCACGTGAACAAATAGCCATGCCCGTGTGCCACATTTTGCGCGCACAATTGACCGGCGTCACAGGCGTAGCTACTTATTAACGCACGAATTTTGCCGCATTTTACCTGCAATGCAAGCGCACTGCATTGAGCGGAAATTGTCGGTTGTACACCTCCTTACTATGACAGCAGAAACGACCCAAACATGGGTCGTTGGCCAACCACAACAAACACACTGCATTGAGCGGAAATTGTCGGTTGTACACCTCCTTACTGTGACAGCAGAAACGACCCAAACATGGGTCGTTGGCCAACCACAACAAAATTTTCTAGAAACTCCTACTTTGTAGGATAATATTTCGCATGGATTTGACGTGACAGTCAGTTTCTCCATCGTCTCATCACTGACGGTGAGTCTGGAACCGGAGTATAGTGGCCAAGCACAGGTCATTTTGAGGTAAAAGTAGACTTTGCCCGCTACTTCAGAAGGTTTTCATTTGGCCTTAGTTAACAAAAAAAGCAAGTTTTGAGTTGCTTTGGTATCCATGGTTATGCACAAAAATGATAAGCGTAGGAGGTTTGCGGAAAGCCCCAGAGGAAAGTTCAGATAGATAGATAAATGATAAATGATAAAGTTAGATATAGATAAATGATCGACGTTACTCCAATTTATCTTTCTGAACTGCGCCGACTACTCTTATTCCCTACGAACATGACCACTCCAGCTTTTTCAGAGCAAAATTAACATTTCAAGAGCCCAGAGCTCGCTTTCGTCTCGCCGCTTTTTTGAATCGGCGTAAAAACAAATGGAAAGATCAGGTCGTAATGTGCCTTCAATTTCGAACCATTATTTCTCCATTCTGTCTGCATGGCTTTGCAAAGTATGGAGAGTGGGGAGAGGGGGGGGGGGGGTTATTTACCATGGTCAGAAAAGAGTGTCATGTCAAGAAGAGCATCTATTTCAAAACAGCTAGGAAGAATTTGCATCCGCACATACTCACTCTTTAGCTAGAAAGTGCCTGAAAAATGATTCAATTCGGGACAGACAGAGGACACCAAAAGTATAGATGCTTATTTCCGGGTTATTTACTAATATTTTAGAGTGTACACATTTTTGTGCTTCTAAATCAGATGACTAATTTGGAAATAGATTTCGTATTCTTGGAAGCGCCTTTGACTTTCAAGGGAACGATACTCGGTGTCCGTGGCCTTTTGAAGTGAAATGTATACCATTACACTCGTCTTGGGGCGATGATTCCAAATCTGGCTTCCGTTTTTCCTAGTCGTTAAAAAAGTTTTGAAAGATTTTGCGTCAAAGGAGATGTGGTCGGGATGCCAAAACCGCGTAACTGTGTAGTGGCTACTGCGATAGCTTCGCAAGTCAATGCAGATTTAGGTTCGAGTCCTTTTGTGTTTTTCAGTTTTGCATTGTCTCAATCAAGTTTCTTTTCAAAAACTACGTATCCTCGACCGTTTTTGTGTTGAACGACCATTGACGCGAAAATCCTTCATGACTTCTTTTAGAGATATGACTAGCAGAAAAGGAAGCAAGATTCGGAATCAGCGTTCCAAGACGAGTGTGATAGTATACGTTTCATCTCAAAAGGCGGGCACCAAGTATCATTTCGTTGTAAGAAATATGAAAGGCATTATCTAAATCTTTAGCAACGATAGGGTGAACATTTGTACTCTCATCAAATCATCACCAAATTATTATACCGGATATTGCTAGGACCATATCAAATTGTGAGAGTTCAGTGCTATGGAATGACCCGTAGAACTTCACCACAACAAATCCTTTGTCTCTATTCGTTCTTTATGATTTTACACCCCTTCATGCGCTCTTCCTTTCTGAGAGTCATAAAAAATGCTTTTAGAACTACACGGGACCGTTGACAGATGGAGACACAAGCAGTCTGCACATTCTCAAACAAAATGTGCAAAAACATGAATGGGATGCTAAATGCATTCCCTCCTTATGTGCTGTCGGATATCGCATTGGCGGAGACCACAGGCGCTATCTCTTCACCAACTTTGCCAAGAGCGCATATCAAAAAGTGTTCCTACACTCGGTATGTACTTTATTATTTGTTTTAACATGATAAGCATTAACAAAGTGCGTTTTTATCTCACCGCTCAAATCTTTCGTCTGACCAGTAGATGCTCTGATCATTGATATGGTTGACCTATTAGGTTGTCCCGAAAGTTTTGTCGGTTTCTTTCATCGATTACTGGAGCTCACAGAACACCAATCCATGGGCAAGCTAGATACCACTTGATTCAGATTTTTATCCTCTTTCATGAATTTATATTTTCTCTCTGATCTACTCTGTCTTTGCGATGTTATCGCCATGGCTTTTTGAGCAGCTCAGCAGTAATGCCAAATCTTTCCTGAATTTTGAAAATTTTTGTACTAAAGTTTTCATAGAGCGCTGGTACTGTTATGTAGAGCAAACCTTTGGCTACATTGTGTTTATTTTAGATTACATGGGACACGTTTACCAAGTCCGCTATAATTGATTATTTAATAAAAACCGCGACTTTTTGATTACATTTACCACGTAAAACTATCGAAAATTCCAAAAAGCTCCTTTTTCAAGGCAAATCAAACTTGGTCATGTTGCATAAATGATTTTTAATAAGAATCGTTTCTCAATTCGGAGAAACTTTGAATATTATGTGAATTTGCTGCAGTTGCGTGTTTCATGACTTTGCCAAAAATCGAGACCCCTTAAGAAATAATTTTTTCAAGCTATAAACAGCAAATTAGGGGATTCTAAAAATGTAGCCTTGTAGTCCAAGAATCGCTCTATTAGAATCATACTTGACCATATTGGAAACTTTAGAATGAAATTTTTATAAATTACCCGATCTTTGACCAAATAAAATTGGCGGATGGACGTTTTTAGCAAATATTGAAAAGAGCAAACAAGTTTATGGCTCGGGAATGTATCCATAAGAAAGAGAAGAAAATGCTGCATCGAATGCATGTTGAAACTCGCTCAGATGTTTATTGTGCGTGGTTTTGTAGTGGTTTGAAAAAACCGACAAAACTTTCGGGACAACCTAATATTAGAAGTTAAAAGCCTCACACGCATTTAGTGACGAGCACAGTGGAGGCATTGAGCTTGAGTTGTGTTAGCTACCTTTATTGTGCGTGGTTTCTTGAACACATTATGGTCAGGAAAATGATAACGTCGACCCAGCTTAATATGGATAAAGACTTGGCAAGCTTGCTGCTTTACATACCTTGCATTCTATCATATGTACCTACAGCATTTCTGGAAGAAATGCATGCTCGAGATGCTTTCCTCCATCAAAAGCAGATTTTAGTAACGTACTGTCAAAAAATGGAAAGCATTCTTTGACAGAGCAAAATTGTGCGATCAAATGCACAGTATCGCACAAAAATTCAAGCAAGACTGTGGTCTAGCTAGCGTAAACTTGTGGTGGGCATGTGTACTAGGCTGATAAGAAAATTTTCGGACATTTTTGAACTAAATCCGGAACTAGTGCATGCATTTGAGTGGAACTGCAGTACGCTCGCGTGTTTTAGCTGATATCCTTGCAAGCGGGAAGAGTCTGGAAGCAATGGGGAAGGAGTTTGTTATTCAGGCTCAAGATCCATACAGGCTGTGCATGTAAATATGCTTAGGATGCACCGTAACTTAGAGCATGTTTTGTGTTTCTAAACATTCACCTGGGCTTTTGGAGGAACATTGGTAATGCTCGTGCTTACCATAGTCGTGCAGAGGTAGCTTTTTTCTATCCAGTGGTGTGCATCATGCCCCACTTACAATGGAAAGATCCGAAATCGTAGAGGCAAACCGGGATGAAATACATATCGTTAGATGCGTATTGATGAGCTGACTCCAAATGTACCTTTTCTATCTACTGCGGAATTTTCTGGAACAAGTTACAGGAGCCTGCATGACCGCGGTCAATGCGCCGCGCACGTCTGATGTCACTGAGGCAGGTGCCAGACTTATCTTTAATCCGGTTCGTCCGGCTCATTCGCTATTAATCAAATCAATGCACTGACCAATAGCAGAGCGGTGAATCGATGAACCTGTTGAACATGGTAAGTCTGGCACTTACCTGAGTCGTGGGACGGACATCGGACATGCGCGGCGCAATGGCCGTACGCACGTACGAGTCTCGCGATCATGCAGGCCCCTATAGGAGCGGTTGAAAATGCAATCATTAGGGTTTCAATGCATAATGTGCATTTAAATCAAACCTGAGAGTATATAAATGGCAAAGTGTCAAGTGTGCTGGCTATAAGTTGAAAAAGTGTATCAATATGTTGCTCGACTAACTTTTACTGAAATTTTCGTGAAATTAATCAATATCATTTCAGCACAGCAAATCCAAGACTCTGGCGTCTATGAGCAAAGTCGGCTGTCAGTGTTCTGAGCAAGAAAATCTTCTTTTGTGTATCTTCAGAAAATAGCTGTATTTTGAATTCGCGGAAAATTCCGATTAAATTCTGTTTTTTATTCCGTGTAAGGCACAAGAAAGAATAGCATCTATTGTCAGCAGTGCTTACCAAAGGAAGGCATGTGCAATGTGACTCAAAGGGGAAAGATACAAAATTGCAAATGATCCCTGAAGTAGTGTATATCGGATACATCGTTTTTGGACAGCGTCTTGTGTTTGTTACACTTTGAAGGACTTGCTGTGTATAAACTTAAAACGATCTTGTACCATTCCTTCGCTTAAGGCATTGTTCAGGCAAATCTGGCGCAGGGTGTTCTTGGCTGGGAACTGATCAGGGGAAGAAGAAGTTAAATGCTCAAAATAACATACAGTACTCGGTTCCGCCGCACAGGCCTTCTTCGCAGGACCCACTAAAGTTTAGTACGAACTTCAGGCCGCTGAAGAACCAATGAAACTCAAATCATTGTGGGTGTATTCACTACCATCGAGAAAGCATCTGCTCACTTGAAAAGAGGCGCTAAAAAGGTAGTCATCTCAGCTCCATCTGCAGATGCACCATATTCGTAATGGGTGTAAACCTCGAAAAGTACGATCCTGCCAGAAACCACATTATTAGTAATGCTTCTTACACCACCAACTGTCTTGTTTTACTTGCTAAGGTTATCAACGACAACTTCACAATCATCGAAGGTTTTATGACTACCGTCCACGCCACCACGGCAACGCAGAAAAACAGTCGATGGCCCATCTGGAAAGCACTATCGTGATGGACCTGGTGCAGGCCAGAATATTATCCTTGCATCTACCGGTGCTGCCAAGGCTGCTGGCAAGGTCATCCGCTTTGAACGGAGAACTTACTGGAATGGCCCACTCCTGATGTCTCAGTGGTCGATCTCACGTGCCGTCTGGAGAAAGCGGCCTCAATGGATGACAATAAGAAGGTCATCAAGGCAGCCTCTGAGGGTCCAGTGAACATCTTGGGATACACGGAGGATCAGGTCGTGTCGAGTGACTTCGTCGGTGACCGCAACTCTTCATCTTCGATGCGGAAGCTTGCATCTCTCTCAACCCCAATTTTGAAAGCTGTCAAGCTTATTTCATGGTATGACAATGAGTTTGATCATTCATGCCGCGTTGTGGACCTCATTGCGTGCATTGCCTTGAAGGGCTAAGAAAGCGATGCTCCCGGCCCTCTCACTCTCAATGAAAGTCGTGGTTTTCCAGTGTTTCGGCTATGTTAGTTGCCACTTTCTCAATCGTACACTGCTTTACATACATGTGGGGCTTAGTTCTTATTTTAAATGAGACCTGCTGAAGAAGGCAGTGATGGGATGTATACAGACACCGAAAACCTTTGTAAAGATTATTTTACGCAATTGAGCACAGAATGCTATAATCGCTACATGGCATTACCAGAAATTTGAAGGACATAGGTAAAGACGCAGAACATCGACAAAAAGGCTGTTTTTCGTCTTTTCAGCACGGTCATGTCGCTGGTAAATTCAAGTTTGCATGAACTTGAAAGGAAAAAAAAATTACCATTTCTATTTTCTTAAGACCGACTAGCCGATGATCGATGAACGAATCACGAATCTCTTTCAGCTTCTTGATGAACTTCCTATTCCTTCGATCCATTTTAGGACATGTTTTGCCACCTTCACAAACGATGGCAAAGTCAGTGAGAACCTTGGTATATGTTACATGTACTAGTAAGACAATGTATAAGGGATACGACATACCAGCAGAAGTGCACACAGACCAAACATGATTTTTGAGTGATGAAATCGTCGGCCGGCCATTTTATAAGTTTACATGCGGGTGATACGAATAGTACACAATGAGCTTTGCTGCTATAGAAAAAAATAGCTAGGGCTGTCTGACTCTGGGCCTGCGTAAAAATATTAGTTCACAAGTACGTTTTTCTCAGTACTTCCGGTGACGGAGAGTACGTAATACATTATGCGCGAAATTGAACTAAAAATGGAGTCATTGCTGTTATTGTAAATCTCGTACTTTCAGACCAATAACAGCGTGTAGGACCACTTGCAAAAGCGCAGCTTGATCCTTTTCAAACTGTGCACCAGACCAACTAGATGAACAAACAGGAGTACTCTGCGTTGATACCACTGCTT